TTTTGTACATGTTTGTACTTTATTTCTGTTTGTAATACTAGCTAAATTACTTTACTCGTTTCTTATTGGTCGAAGATCCGGGAAGTAGAGTGGAAAAAAGTGATTGTTGATCGAAGGATGAAGACAGCCTGACCAGTTGGCATAGGCTAAATCCGAACTTTCCAGGCTAAGCATCTGCAGCCAAGTGTTTGGCTAGAACTCTTTATATTGCAGTTGACTTAAGTGAGATGCTCTGGGGAGCATTAAAATTCCCTTTGGTGTTTCTAAGTCGCTTGTGGAAAAATATCCTTGGCAGTCAGTAGCGAGGGAACAGGAAGCGATTCTTGTGGGATGGAAGAAGGAAATAGAGAAAATGGAGAAGATTTGAAGATGAATAGTGTCAAAAAATTAGAAAAAGTGGAAAAAGCAGAGATCAATTGAAGGGGAGTCCAGTTCAGCCAAACGACATTCAGGCCTGCAACGGGGTATTTTTCTGGGTTTAGTTTATATCGAAAGCCGGCATAGCTTAGGATATTTACTGGTGACTTCTACTAAGCTTTTTGTTTATGCCATTGAAAGTGACTGACGGACACTGAGGGTTTAAATTTTGAACTTTGAAGAGTATTTTTTTTCAGTTTAAAGAGTAACTTGGTAGGTTCAAGGTTTTGTGTTAAGACACATTCATTTTGAGTGCATTGCTTTGAGAGCATTGTGAATTTATTTTAAGCTTTGATACCACTCTTTTTAGTGAATGTTATGATTTATTGAGCCACACCGCAAAGTGTATTCTGCATTCAATTTAAATCCTCTAATTTCATTTAACCATTATTTTTTAGTAAAAAGACATAAAATCTTACAATTCATTATTTCATTGTGATATTCTTATTGGGTTAAAAAAGGTATTTATTTACAGAATTTTTACAAGGGTGCTCATAACCAAACAGATAAGAACGACTGCAATTTTATCACCTTTTAATGATAGGAACTCAGGGTGCCCCATATTTAGTTGGTTTGTAGGTTTTTGGATGTCTTGCCAGCATAGTAGGTAAGGAGGAGCTACAGTATCCTGTAGGTGGAACAAAGGATTAGGAAGATTAAACAAAAGGTGTCTCTGACCCCTCCTACTGGATTGGTCATTCTAAATTCCACCTACAGTATATTAATCTCAGTGCCCCACATCATCAGTTAGAACTGAAGAAGCCTCTTGGATGAGTTGAGAAACATCTTCTACATAGAATAAAAGAAAAACTATGTTCAATTTATATACTTTTTATCTCAACCACATTTAGACCACATTTAAATACGTTTTTATTTGATTTAAAAGTTTTAAAAGGTCTTTTATTGAACTGATATACTGAATATATATTTTTTTATTTAATAAGACTTTTTTCAATTGAACAGTAAAGACCCAAATCTATTTTCATAGATTCTCTTCTCCTTATGTTAATTAGCTCTCACTTACAGTAATGTGTTACAAATAACTGCCCTGATTATGGGGATTCATACACTTTTCTGACACAGTTTGTTAAGAGAACAAAATGTTTTTCTGTCAGCTGCTCCTTAATAAAACACACAGGATGTAAGAACTCTATAAAAAAAACTGTACACCTCAAAAAAGCAATGGTTTCACACACATCATTCCTAACTGGAAATGCTTCTAAGAAAAGGTACAGATTTGATCTTAAGGATTAATAAGAGTCCTAAAGAATAGAAGATAGACCTAAAGGAACAGTATAACAGGTTAACCTTTACAGGGGGGAAATCCTGTAAGGGTGAAGATCCAGACAGGAAGGCAAGAGTATTGTGGGAGAGTCTTTCTATCAGGGCTAAGAAACAGTCCTGCGGGAGAAGAAACATTTGCTAGCAAGCAGGAGATTTTGATTTGGGAGATTTAAGGGGAGAAAACAGAAAAAGTGTTTTAATATTAAAATGCATTTTTCAAAATTAAATATAGCTAATAATACATGAACAGCAAAAGAAACTAGATTAATGTTTAAGATATATTAAATTGAAGTTTGTCACTTTTCTCATAAAGAAAAATCTTATATGTTGAAAATGTGATGTTAAATCTGCCAGTTTGTTGTATTTACCGATAAAACCAACTTCCTTCCTGAATTTTCCAGAATCAAACACTTAAGTGATCTTTCTGTTAACTTTCTGTTTCTATATTTCCAGTGCCTGAGCTCAGGGTGGTTCTGCTGGGAAGCAGCTGGTCCCAGAGGAGCTCAGTTGGACGCCTCATACTGGGAGAGGATTGTTTTAAAGATAAAGCTCAGCGCTGTTTAAAAATCAGTAGAAAAGTGAAAAACATGACAATAACTGTGATCAATACTCCAGATCTTCAGTTTCCAACAGCAAACAAAATGACACAGTTTATTAAAGACTGTGCGAGGGTTTCTGCTCCTGGACCTCATGTGTTCCTGTTGGTTGTACAACCCGAAGACTTTACCATGAAAGAGAAGAACATGATCTGCACAATCCTTGAAATGTTTAATGAACAGTCATTTGATCATTTACTTCTATTGATTTTAAAACCCAGACAGAAAATTTCAGGACCCCTGCTTCCAATAAAGGAGATATTCGAAAAATGTAGCAACAGATACTTAAAGATGAAGGACATCAAGCAGTCAGAGCTGCTGAGTCATTTTAAACAAATTGTACAGCAGAACAGTGGAGAGCATGTGAGTTATGAAGGGTTTGACGATGCAGAAGAGGATGTTCCTCAGAGTTTGAAAGAAAAGACAGAAACAGGATCTGACGATGCAGCTGCTGGTAAGTGCAGAAAAGATTTTAAGTATTATAGCAAAAACCTTCACTAAGATTTTGATTCAATGTTTGTAAATGTGTCAGTGGTCAAATACTGAGGTCACATCTCAGGAAAGTAATTTAAGAGTTAATAATGATTTCTGCAGACATCCTTTAAGGGTCTTTTTAGGTCTTTTAGCAACTTCTGTGTTGACAGATGAGGGTAATTAACACTTTTTTTTAACTGGGGGAGCACGAGATTCACAGTGATCACAAAGATGTCATGAAATACATAAATGTGAATATAAAAATATGTCCCATCAAATAAGTACATATAACCTATTTATTTTTCTAATACCTGATTCAGTTTTCTAATATACCACTACATTATAAAATTCACCATTAAACAACAAGGAATGTATTTACAATACATAATTAGTTAATACATAATTGAAAGTCGCTTTACATGAAACATTTATTTAAAAATTAACATAATATATCCTCTCTATATTTAGAAATAATAAAAGAATAAGGAGCATTAACTCCAACCTTCTCCCTCTTTCTTAGAATATGTTTCTAAAACACACAATCTACTCTTTTCACCAACTGAGACCCCAGCATTTGGTCAAATAGAGCTCAGTGACACAGATGAAGGTAAAAATGGTTTCCTGCTCTACTTTTCCTTCCATCTATATTGTATTAATAGAGATTTGCTTGTTTTTTTTTTTCCTTTCAAAAATGGATAAAACGCCACTGTGTCAGGATCATTCAATGAAGAAAGACAACAGGCTCACAACAGACCAGAAAGGTTTGGGTCTGTAGGAGGAAGAAGTCCTGAAGGTGAGAATGAATAAGTTTGCACCATTTACACCATTTTCATCATCAGCATGTTGATTTCAGATAGTCACCATAAATATTTCAGAAATGTTTATTGATCCTTTAAACCTTGCATGAAGCTCACTTTTCATGTCAAACACTAGAAGATTAGAGAAAACTTAAAAAATTATGAAAATAATAAATTATAACATTAGGCTGCTCAAAGCCTACTGCAATGTTCATCATTCAGGCAAATCACACATTTTTGTTGTTTGTTTTTTAATGGGTAGAAGCTAAAGCGCCCAGCTACAACCCAACATGACACAACATCCCTCAGAAAAAGTCAAAGACAAGCAGAAAAGAAAGAAAGAAAGAAAGAAAGAAAGAAAGAAAGAAAGAAAGAAAATGGTTAAAAAAAGAAAATTTAAGTTAAAGTAAATTAAAAGAACTTCATTATTCTAATTTGCTCTCATGCAAATTTGAAAAATCATTTTTTTAGAAAGAAAAAAGAATTTGTTGCATAACTGGTATTACCTTTTTATTTTTACATTGTATCAAATAAAGCCACAGACAGCAAACTGATTTTGCTACAGTGCCTCTGAGGCTGCTACTCCATTTTTACAGTACTGCAGATTAAACATAAGCTTTTTTTTTACCGTACTCTCACCCCAGGCTCACACCGACTCCGGTCTTACCGTTGCGGTGCGGTGGGTGCGGCGCCGCCGTGATTCCAAGTCATTAAAAAGATGTAAACCTCTCTCACCGGCTGCTGAGCTGTCCGGCTGCGGTTACCGAGACACAAAGCTATCCTTGCGGCGTGCCGGAGCCCTCCGCAACAAGCTCTCGCAAATATCCTTATTTGGGCCGTGTTATCGCGTGAAGTTACGTGAACTCAAGTGAACTTCTGTTCTCGCGAGTTAAATCTCCGGACCTGTTGCCGGAGCCGCAGAGCCGCACCGCACCGTAGTCAAAAGGGCGCTGGAGAGGGGGTGTGCGGGAGTTGCGGTCTCCGTCGGCTCGGTAACCGCACCGCAGCCAGTGTGAGCAAGGGGTCAGTTGTAGTCTGCTCATTACAAACTTCCTCATAAAGAAGAAAAGTTAAGTTCCCATTCTGACTCCCTACATTCTGCCCCACCACTTCTAACAGTATTCTTGGTATAAGATAAATATTCATCAATCAATAATGTAAATAATGCAGCTGTTCTGGTCAATACAGATCAGAGCAGCTATGAAGCTGAGAGAGACAGTCGTCTATAACTGAATAAACATGTGACTTTCTAATGTAACCTATAGCCTACAGTTGACTTAAGAAGATGTGTAAGTGAGTGTTTTATTTATTAATGACTTTTCTCTAATCTGTTCCAGTATCAGATTTCAGGATTGTGCTTTTCGGGAAAAATGAGAAAAAAATGACTAAACTTGGCAACTTGATAGTTGGACAACAGATTCATAATCAATCAAATGTTGGAGCCAAACAGTGTTTGGCCTTCGGTGGAGAGTGGAGCGAAAAAACAGTAACTGTAGTAAAAACTCCTAATATGTTCAGTCTGTCTGATGAGGAAATTCAAAGACAAGTGAAGAAATGTGTGAGACTCTGTTCTCCTGGACCAAATGTTCTGCTGCTGTTGGTGAAACCTTCAGAATTTACTGAAAGTGACAGAGAAACACTGATGTTCATCCTGAGTTTGTTTGGTCAAGATGCTTTCAAACATTCATTGATCATCTTAACAAATGAGGGTGAAATAAGTTCATCTGTCAATGAGCTCCTCAGGCTGGTTCAAGTAAGATGCTACAACATGAATGATAATGACCGCAGTCTGTTGATGAAGGAGATTGAGAACATCGTGGAGGAGAAAAAAGGGAAAAGTCTGACCTTCACAGAAGAAACCGTCAGATTCCAACATAAACCAATGAAACCATTAAACTTGGTTCTGTTTGGGAGGAGAGGACCAGTGAAGACCTCAGCAGCCAAGGCCATTCTAGGTCAGATAGATCTTCCTTCAGCCTCCAGCTCATCAGAGTGTGTTAGAAACCAGGGAGAGGTTAGTGGACGTTTGGTTTCTGTGGTGGAGCTGCCTGCCTTGTGTGGAAAAGCTCAGCAGGAAGTGATGGAGGAATCATTCAGGTGTATCTCCCTCTGTGATCCTGAGGGTGTCCACGCCTTCATCCTGGTCCTACCTGTGGGTCCCCTCACTGATGACGACAAGGGAGAATTACAGACCATCCAGGACACATTCAGCTCTAGAGTCAATGACTTCACCATGATCCTGTTCACTGTGGACTCAAATCCTACAGCTGGAGATGTTAACTTCATAGAGAATGATAGAAACATCCAGGAGCTCCTTCAGAGCTGTGGAGGAAGATATGTTGTTCTCAACATCAAGGACAGACAGCAGATCCCAGAACTGATGGAGAGTGTTGACAAATATAGTGATAAAGGGTTCAGCTTTTCATTAGACATGTTTACCAGAGTCTTGATGGAAATAACTTTAATACTGAAACTGGAGAATGTAGAACAGAAAAGTGGGATGAAGATTAAAGATGATTTAGAGTCAAGAGAACGACCCAGGAAAGAGACAGAAGAACTGAAGAAAAGGGAAGAAAAGCAGAATAAAAAATACGGTGAAGAATTTAAAGCCCTTCAATCTAAATTTGAACAGGAAATAAAGGAGAAAGACAAATTGATGAAGGAGTTTGAAAAGATAAAGAAAGAACTGGATGAAGAGGAAAGAAAATGGAAAAGAGACGAAGAATCCCAGCGGAAACATTGGCAGCAAAAAGTTGGTGATTTACAAAAACAAGTTAGTGTTGAACGACAACAAAAAGAGGCGGCTGAGAAGAAGCTGGAAGAGAGCAAACGAGAGAGGGTAAAGGAGAGGGAAGCTTTGGAGAAAGAAAAGGACAAAATCTGGGAGCGAATGCATGAAGAGCTGAAACAGAACCTGCAGGAGATGAAGATGAACTCAGAAGATGAACCAATCAAAGCACTGATGGAATCACATACAGCTAAAGCTTTAGCATGTGGCCAAATAGCAAGCCTTTCAGAGCTACAGGCTGAAGGGAAACAGCTGGAAATGAAGACCACTGACACAGGTAACTAACTACTTTACAGGCAAAGTTGTAGAATATTTTATCTGTTAAACTATATCTAATTTCTAAATGTCCGTTCTACTTTTTATTACATCTATTATGAATCGATAAGTATTTATTCTTTTCATCATAGCTGAAGAAAAGGCCACAAAGTCAGGTCCTACTAGTAAAGGAGGACAGGAGGTTCCTGATAGACAAGAACCTTTGGAGTCTGTAAAACAAGGCAGGTTTGGAGTTCAGAATAAATGAGGTTACATCATTTCAGATAATCACCAAAAAAATGTAATAAATGTCCATTAATCCATTAAACATTGAAGTAAACTATTTTCATACCAACCACCAAATGATTACAAAAAACTGTAATGAAAGCAAACATTTAAGTCAGCTTCATCTCAAAGCCTGTTTTAAACAAAGCAAAGAACAACAGCTACAGCTCAATTTATGAAATTTTACTCCAGGATTTAATAATATCCTGAATGCTTGATCAAATTAGAAAAAACAGCAACATTTACATCAAATTCTGCTTCTTTAGGATTTCGGCTGAAAGTCTCTGAATTCTCTATTGTTGCAGTAAAGTTTTTTTTTTATTTAAGTTTATGGATCATTCACTAAAAATGAAGGAAATAAAGTGTATCAAAGTGTGTTTTATCTTGAAGGTTCAGACTTCCTGAGGATAGCAGGTAGAGCATATTCTTTAATTTGATCATGTTTTCTCTGGATAATTCTGTCATTCTGGAACAGCTGGAAAGAAAATGTAAATAATATACCTTAAATTATCATGAGACTATTAGTGGTTTGTTTCAGGTTCTTCATACTTCAAAGCGTGAAATTCAGCTCATGTTGATCATAGATGCAGTAAAGTTTGAGGCCTGGTAAACTGACTGCACTGACTGATTCAGGAACTGGGTCGCCTCTTCGTTCATTTATAGAAGCATAAAGAAATGATGAAGCTGCTGATTCTCCCCTCATATTTTCTTCTCTCTGAACCAATAAAGTTATTCTTAGGATCTGATTTTCTATTGAAACCACCAATAAAGAGAAGAAATAAAGTATAGAAACCAACAGTAAAGTGTTTATCTGAACTTCTATAGACCTGTTGCTGCTTTTCTCATTACTCAGCCTCATCTGTCCTATAAGAGGGAATGTTCTAGATCAGCAGAAATCTCACTGAGTCGGTTCAATGCTGCTTTATGAAGGGGTTGCCAGTTTGGGGGTCATGAGACATGTAGTGACGGGTCACAAGATAGTTTACACAATGATTGTGATCATATCATGAAATAAATCAATGTGAATGTCCCAAGATATTAATTCCTGTCTCATGAAATACGTAGCTGTAACATGTAATTATCTGTTTATCTAATACATGATCCCGTCATATAATCTACCATAAAATGTTAAAATACACCAATAAATAATCAGAACGCGATAAGATTAAACACATAAAATAAATAATATCTACATGATTGAGTCACTTAATAATAACATCTATTTAAACACATTACATTTATAATCAACAAAAGCATAAGGAGAATCAACATTTTTTTTAAATTGCAGTATTTTGTATATTTTAATCCTACCTTCTTGGTGAGCTCAGGGACAGTGGATGGAAATGAGCTTGTAGCTAAATCTGGTTTGTGCAGCAAATTTGTTTTGCAGTGTCCCTGTCAAAAAAAAAAAGATGAATAAATAAACCCTCTACTTCTTTTATGTGATCCTGAAACACTAAATCCGTCTGTTTACCAACAGCAATGTCAGCATCTGGTCAAACGGAGAATATCTCACAGCCTCAGGATAAACTGAATGAGCAGAAAACAGAGATCAGTGACACAGATAAAGGTAACGATAGTTTTCACTTCTCTTTACCTACTTTGTTTGAGTTGATTCTACTTTTCCCTCCATCCATATTGTATTAATACAGCATGTTTTTTAATCTCTTATCAAAGATGGAGAGAATGCCACTGAGTCAGGATCCACCAGTCAAGCAGAAGCTAAGGATCAGGATAGATCAGAACTGTCCGGGACTGTAGAAGGAAGTAGCTCTAAAGGTGAGAATAAATACTCATTTATGGCTAAATGGGGACATTTTGCTTTTCTATTCTAAACGTAAATAACCTGGAAAATAAAGTGAACAAAACAAAGGAAAGCAAAATAGTTGCTTTAAATGATACATAAATGACATACATTTAATACTATAAAGACTGAGTCTAATATAAGTCAGAGAGAAACATCATGGTTTGATTTCAGACATGTAAAATACTTGATGAGAGGTGTAAATAATAATTTCATAATCTCTATTTAACCAGGAAGGTCAGAGACTGAGACTAAAAACATCCTTGTTCAACTGAGTCCTAAAGAAAAGGCAGCAAACACAACACAACTGCAATTAGATTATAAATTTAACATGTTGTAGAAATGGTCAAAAACAATAACGATTTAAAGAGATCTCCTCCAGTTCTATGTTTGGATTTAAAATCTCTCCTAGAAATATGTTCAGTTCATTTCCTTTTGCTGCATAGTCCATGTAGACTGAGCTGAATAAACTGAAGCATTTTTTTCACTGGTTCTTCTGTGTGAGGAAATAAAACAGAGATCCACAATAATTGCATGAATATAGGAAAGCAGCCACATCCAGCACAGCTTAATAAACAAGAGTAATCCTACAGTATGTCCAAAACCTCTTGGTGGAAAAAGATCATCTCAGTTAACCATGATGGGTCAGGGCTTTACAGCTAGTAACAAACCTCAGAGGAGCAAAATAATCAATGTCCATCTTCTGAATACGGTGTTGCCAGAACTTCAAGTTAAAAAAACAAACAACTGGACTGTTTCCAAGCTTGAAGACGCTTCACTTCCCATCTGGGAATCATTTTCAATTCAAAATGTCTGGATTAGCGTTGAGTTCCAGGCTTTTATAGAGGAGCCCAACAAAGCCTTGTAACTTCAACTTGTTTCTTCTGGGCTCCAGATTAGTAAATATAAGGACTTTAGGAGGCAATGACCAGTTCCTCTTTTTTAGAGCAGGTATGGAGCTTTATGTGGAGTACTGACTTTTTTGACATAATCAATATATTAAAATGTTCTCAATTTCTTATCCTCATCATTGGTATAATTTTCCAGGTCCTATGGAGTCCTGCAGCCTTCATTGTTTGCGGATTGTTCTGATTGGGAAGACCGGCAGTGGGAAGAGCTCATCAGGAAACACCATCCTGGGAAGAAGAGAGTTTAAAACTGAAGCATCTCCACAGTCAGTTACTTTGAACTGTCAAAAAGCTGAAACTGAAGTAGACGGTCGTCGTCTTGCTGTTGTCGACACTCCTGGTCTGTTTGACAACAATTTGTCACCTGAGCAGGTCAATGAGGAGCTGATGAAATGCATTGATCTTCTGGCTCCAGGTCCACATGTCTTCCTGCTGGTGATACCGATCGGCAGATTATCACCAGAGGACAGAAAGACATTCACTCTTATTGAGGGAGTTTTGGGAGAAAATTATGAAAAGTTTACAATCATCCTTTTCACCAAAGGAGGAGCACTAAAACAAGATGACATGTCCATTGAAGATTATATTAAAGATTTATGTGATGATTCCTGTAAGAAGCTGATCTCTGACTGTGGAGGAAGATACCATGTGTTTGAAAACTATGATAAAAAGAACCGCTCACAAGTTACTGAGCTGATCCAAAAGATCGATGACATGGTAAAGGTCAATGGAGGCAACTGCTACACCAGCGACCTGCTGAACAATTATTGAATCTGCTACAACTGTAGCCTGCTTAAATGTTAAATGGTTAATAGCATAGACATTTCTGAAACCTTTGATTACAGAAAAATGTTATATATCTTATTTTTTGTTTGTTTGTTTGAACTAACAATAGGTGTTCTCAATCAGTTTTCCTTATTTTTATTTAGTTCAGAAAGTCTCGTCTTTTGTAGGGAACTTGTTTATTGCGTGTATGTCTCAATCTTTTATCTGTTATTCTATACCATGTTTCACCAGGAAGGTATTCATTCTCAGATCTAAGAAAATGGACATAGAAGAAAAACTCAACCATGTCCAAATCCAAGTTGAATTAGCATTGATATTTATAATTTTTTTATCCTCAGAACTAGTGAACCTTACATTATAATCAACAGACATTTCTATGATTTATTGGAAATGTTTTTTCATTTTTGTTTGTTTTCAGTTCCACACAGACCCTCATTTTCACATCTTTGTGCATGTTTTGTAGAATAATCCTTATTATTTGGTTTGTGATGTAAAATAGGTAAAAAAAAAATAAATAGGGTGAAAAAAGATTTGATTACTTTTTTTTTTTTTACTCATGCTGTTTTAACAAATGTGTCATACATTTGCTTGTTTTATCAATAGCTACAAGTTCTCCAAACTTGACCTCTGCATTTGGACATGCATCCTCAATTCAATAGCAAAACAACCCAGCAACAAATATTGGAAACCAATAATTTAACTACTGAGAATAAATAAGGATTGGTTTAAAATATTGTGTTTTTTCTAAGTCATGCTGGTTTTGGATGCTATACAGCTCTGGATATTTTGGACAGTTTTAATGATAAACAACCAGAGGAGGGATTTTTACTACATTTACCTGCATACCTTTTTAACTTCTACATTTAGCTTCGACATGAGGGGAGAAGGAAAGAAAAAAGTTGAAAGAGAGGATGAGGAAGTTCAAATCATCTTTGCTATTGATCAGAATGGGAAATGTGAGATATTGGGCAAATAATGTGGACAAACTTCATTGGTAATAAGAACCAAGAGCCAAACAAGCCCTATAGGTGAATTAGAATGACTTTCAACAGCAGATAGAGCTACATTTTCAAACTCCTTGTTTAGAGGCAGCATGAAATGAAAAGACCTATTAGAAGATAGTAACATAATACTGAATACGTTCAGCTGGGCTTTTTTAAGGTTTAGGGCTAGAATACACTCCGTCAGACTCAGATCTCTCTGTAATTAATAAAACAGTTTTAATTTAATTGATTTGAATACAAACCATCTATCAAACATTTACATGAAGTCTTTGGTTTAGAGGAAAAAGCACAATGGAAAGAGAACTGAGGTAAACATGTCACATCTTAACACAGAGCCAAGTTTAGCCCATCTGATGTCTCCAAGAAGCTAAAACAAGGTCCTGTGTTTCTTTACATTTGTTGAAATCTAAAGGTGTAAAGCATTTTTTCTAATCATTTAGTGAGCTTGGATTTTTTTAGTTTTTTATTTTGTGTTTTGATCTTTGTGAAATACTACATACAATAATACAATAATAGCTCGAATCTCTGCTGAAAAATGTTGATAATAAAACATAAAATATTCTGCTTCTGATAATAGTTTGACCCATTTTAGGAATTAGTTGATATGAAGCTTTGATTAAGAATAGTCTGTAAAAGGGATCAAGACTGTTAATGCTGATCTTCACAATCCTGCTTTTTCAGTTTAACTTTATTTTTGTATTTGTTTCCTTTTTCAAACAGTTGTGGGTAGAAGAGTAACAGAAAATCACTGAAAGAGAACATCTTCTCTGGACTAAAGCTGAAGAACACGTTTTTGGTCCCTTTAGCTTCTCTCTCTTCATTTAATTTCCTGTTCAACAGGTTTTAGTAAAAACAGGGATGTTATCTTTCCTTTAAATATGTGGTCAGGTGTGTTTTCAGTGCTTTCCTGGAACATCTACCTGAACATTGTGGAAGAGCAGGTAGAACTGCTGATAGTAGAACCAGATAACGAGATCAGTCTCTGTTTGGTTGGTAAATCAAACTGATTCAGACCAATGCTGAGATCAGACAGAGCTGAGCTCAAAGGTTTATTTAGCTCTAAAGCTCTACATTTATTAATCTAATAATTCCTATATATGGAAGCTTATTGCAGGATGATACTGGCAAACAGTCTGTTAATGACACTTTATTGTATGATCATTTAACTGATTTCTGTATTATTTTTTCTGTAAGAAAAACTTTATACAATACATTGTATAAAATAAAATGTTTGAATTTTTCATGTGTTGAATGTATCAATTATTTTGGGCCTAGTTATATGTCCCTGCCGACCTATAAAAAAAAAGCTCCCATCTGTCACCATTTTAGTGTTTTTTGTTTTAATTTAATTTAATTACTTATTTTTGTTTCCTTTCTCCCAGTGTGATTTTTTAAAATGTTTTTTCCTCTAATATAAAGCTTTATTTCTGGTTGAATCAGTCCAGTGTGAGGGAAAGTTATAATGGCTGCTGCAGAACCTTGTTTACTTAGACCTCATGGTTGTTTGCTTCCAGTATCTTAAAGAATGGATTTAAAAATAATTATGTTAGGCTGTAAATCATTTAATAGCTTCACCCCCAAATTACAGAAGGTTAAAGGGAAATTAAATATAATTAAATATAACATTAAATAAATAGATCTAAATGTTTAAATGAAAAAAAGTCTGTTTAAAAGTGTCAAAAAATATTTAAATGTTCCATTTGTTTATTTAATATTTTATTAAATAAATGTAATTTACCAATAATTTATTGAATGAAAAACTAAACAGTCGCCTGTGGAGCAGACTCATGATATTTTTATAAATCCTATCTTCTCACATCCATCTCAGAGGGCGGGGCTATGGCGGCTTTCAAAGAGACCCTGAAGTGTGATTGGCTGCTTCTCACTGAGAAAGATAGAATATTATCCACCTGGTTTTCCTTCACTCTAAATTCAACATTTTTAATGAAACAGTTATATATCATTTTAAAAATACATTTACTAAGAGCCTGCAGTTGTTCACCTAATGTACAGTAAATATGTTGCAGCACATTTTTCCCCACGTTTTTCAGCTATGATATGTATGAGTGGTTTGTTTTGCCGTCTGAGGAGGAGGAGTTACGGTTGTCACATGATTCGCTGATGTGAGCTGCACGTCATCTATAGCTGGATTTAGGGATCCTTTGGAAATCATCTCTTAGTTTACAACAGCTAAGTGAAATATTTTAAACTGTTAGTTTTCTTGTTTCTGTCTGTCCTCATGAGATGAACCAGACGTCTCTGAGCTGGATGGAGCACTTAAGAGCATCTATGTTGATTGTCCAGCGTAAAGAAACAGAGGTTAGAAGCATTTGCGGTGAACAACAGCAGGACCAGATTCATGATAATCCTGTTTGCTGATCCACATCTGCTGGAGGGAGGAGAGGGAGGCCAGGATGGAGCCACCGATCCAAACAGAGTACTGTCTCTCAGGGGGAGCGATGATCTAGAACAGAATAGATGGAAAAAATGAAGCTACAACTATGATTCGATGATAGTCTCATTAACAGAGACAACCTATGTTAAAACTCGTAGAGTAATAGAAATCGTATTTTACCAAAACCATCACTTTGCAGATGATCCGTTTTAATTTAAGTACATGAGAAGTTTTGGGCATTTTGGCTTTGGTGATGATAAGTAATTAATAATCCTACTAGAACTAGAACCACTGCTACATTTGATGTGAGTTGCTCAGTTGATGTGAGTTTAGTTTTGTCAGAAAATTGATTTGCCTTGCCTTTATCTCTACTAATACATTTTTCCAACCCTGATACCCCCAGTCCAGATTCCCTTTAGTCTAAAGCATTGGAACAGATTGTTGAACAGGGAGGACCAAGCTGCAAGCAATTGATTTAAACTCATAACTTTACTTTTTTATTTTTTTGCAGCCTGGACTTGGCCAAAGGCTTGAACTGAAAATAAATGAAATAAGATAAGAAACACCTTTATTATGCAATGATTAAGTGTTAAAAAGAACATAAAAACTACCCCCCCCAAAAAAATAAAAAATAAATAATCATTTTACAAAAAAATGGAGAGAAAAAACAGTCTCAATGAAAAGTCAAACATGGTGGTGGCAAAGGATTGGTGATTGCCTAAATGCACAAGCTACACATGAGGGTCTTTTAACAAAGACTGCATCCCAAACACAGTACTGCATGGGTGTCACTCATGATACTTTTACAAATGAATTCTGTGAATTTCTGATGTTTTTTGGTTTTAATCTTGTTCATGCTTCATTTTATTGATCGGCAATAAAAAAATAAAATAAAAATAAAGTGATGTACCTGGATATTCATGGAAGGCGTGGCAAGGTGAGAGATCTCCTTCTGCAGGCGGTCAGTGATTCCAGGGAACAAGGTGGAACCTCCAGACAGCACGATGCTGCCGTAAAGGTCCTTACGTACATCAATATCACACTTCATGACGCTGTTGTAGATGATTTTATGAACACCAGCTGACTCCATTTCTGAAAACAACAACAATCTCAGTCAGTGTCACTAACAAATGTGGAGAAGCTAGATCAAACTTTATAGTTTACAGACACAGACAGATGAAGATAAAGGAAAAAGACGAGTTCAACTGAGACCAATCACTGAAGGACAAAAAGTCTTTTTGGATCAATGAGGATCAGTAAATAAAAACACAAGTTTTGATTATGTTATAAATCTTACAAACCAATTAAATTAGGCTTGAAAAGTGCCTCTGGACAGCGGAACCTCTCGTCACCAATGGAAACAACTTGTCCATCAGGAAGCTCGTAGCTCTTCTCCAGCGAAGAAGAAGAAGTTGCCATCTGCATCTCCTGCTCAAAGTCTAACGCCACGTAGCAGAGCTTCTTCTTGATGTCATTCATGATGTCACGCTGACCTGAAATGTTCAGTCATCATCCTCTCATCTAATTAGATGACCTTCTTCACTGATTAGTCTGATAGGTTCTAACTAACCAGCGGCACTTAAGCTGTAGCCTCTGTTATTCAGGATCTTCGTCAGATAATCCGTCAGATCTGCACCACCCAGACTGAGGCGGATGATGGATTGAGGCAGAGCATAGCCTTCATAGATTGGCACAGCATGACTGACACCCTCACCTGAATCCATCACGATACCTTTAGGGCACAAAGATGGTTACAAACCCTGGAAGGGTTTTATTTAAAGGAAAACCAGAGTTTCTGTTGGCTAACTTTACTCACCTGTGGTACGACCAGAGGAGTACATTGACAGGACAGGCTGAATGGCCACATACATGGCAGGAGAGCTGAAGGTTTCAAACAGGATCTGGACCACATAAAAAAGGTTTCAGGTTAAGAAGCTTTTTTTATCTGCTGTAGGAGCAGATTTTCTTCAGGGTGAATTCAAACTGTGGTTTTATCACTTGTGTCATCTTTTCCCTGTTTGGTTTAGGGTTGAGAGGAGCCTCAGTCAGCAGGACTGGATGCTTTGAAGGATCAACATGAAGCTCATTGTTGAAGGTATGACGCCAGATCTAGAAAACACAACATAAAAGCTTCTCATTGGAACCAAGACAACTTTGGCTGAAGTTGAAATTCATGGTGTTACCAAATGTTGGCGCATTGAGAGGTTTGACACGGGATGGATCATAGATCAGTGTCTCTAGAAAAGGTTTCACAGCCTCACCTTCTCCATGTCGTCCCAGTTGGTGACGATGCCGCGCTCTATGGGATTCTTTATGCTCAGAATTCCTCTGTGACTGAGGGCTTCATTTCCCACAAAGTTTTCCCTCTGTCCACCTCCCACTGCCAGAATCTGAACACAAACACCTAATTTATCTGCTTTCACTAATTAATGTCTGAGATAATAAAAACTTCTGTTCAGACCTGGTTCCTGGGCCGGCCTACAGCCGATGGGAAGACGGCACAGGGGAAATCATCTCCAGAAAATCCAGCTTTGGTAAAACCGGAGCCGTTGTCTATGATAAGTGGAGCCGTTTCTTTCTCCATTCCTGAAATGAAATATTTATTCATTCTTTTCGAACACCTGTTTGTCGTTAATACCAACCAAGAAACGTAGGATTTGAAGCCTGACATCTGTCTCTGATCATTGAACTATTTTATTACCACGATGTTCTAACCCAGATGGGATTAACAGTCCTCTGAGGGCGGTCAGAAATAATCATTAAAATCTCTATTTTAAGGATCTTTGATTGCAGTTCTTGAGTTCCAGTATTATTAACCTCTTTTTATGTGTCTCTTTTTTAACACACCAGAGTCTAATAATCAGGTCATTACCAGGACGCTGGATAACTTGACTTCATACTGAGGAGGTTATTTGGCCTCTTCATTGAGCAGAGACACATCTAAACAGTAAAGGACACTGGACCTAGAGGACCATAATTGAAGAACCCTGTTCTTTAAGATGGGATGTGCCTTAATAATCTCCAGGTACTGTTTGGCAATATGTCCATTCTAGACACGTCAAGAGCAGTCGTCTAATCAAAGGCAGAAATGGTTAACTAACACATTTTAACCAGAGTGAACAGCAGGCTGAGTGGCTCCTTTAGGATCAGGGCATTAAAGCTAACAGCTAGTTCTATAGCACGGATATGTGTGTGTTGGTGTGTGTGTGTATGTGTGTGTGTGTGTGTGTGATCAATAACACCTGAATTTTAAGTTACAGCCATGGAAGCTATGATCAGAGCTGTCCTGGTACCAAGAACAGTTAGAAAAAGTTAGAAGAAGAGTTTTAGAGAGGAAGTTAGTCTAAAACTATTTCTTGATTTCTCTTCAGAGCCCATGCAGGTCAAGTCATGATTCAGTTTTTAAATCGCGTTAATGAGAAAGATAATTTAACGAAAAGCTCTTTCCTTTTTGAAATCTTGTTTAGGGGCACGACGGTATCTACAGTATACCCATGAATAGGTTGTCTATTAACAACAATATGAAAATAAACAGATTAACCATAAGTTCTTAGAGTCTCCATTTAACCGGAAACGCGACCAGAAAGAGGATCCAGTCTTTATTAAATGAATCTCCTGTATAAATGTTAAAACTGTCGTTAAAAATCAAAAACAAAAGAGGATCCATTCTGACTCTTACCTGCGGCAGGTTCCTGTAGGTGAGTTGATAAGGAAAGACCTTTGTTCAGTTTTCTCAGTCTCTGCTGGACTCAGAGGGTGAACAATAATCCTCCTGCTGGTCAGAGTGTGTCTCTGCATCCAGTGCCTGGTTGAAATATGGAAATAAAACAAAATATTAATATTTCTATATTTGTATGAATGGTTGTTTCTTTTAATATGCTATATCACATTTATATTCCTCAGAAGGAGCTTATTATACAGCAGTAAACCTGCTGAGTTTCTTACAGACTCTCCTTCCTGCTGCAGCATTTCCTTCAGCTTCGCCTACCAGCAGAATATAAATATTATAAGGGCATAAAAACAACCACAGTACATTATTTCAACATAAATATGTATTACATGTATGTTCTCTTGTCTGTATGGTGTGGTGGACATTTGGATCTCAGCGTGGTTTTCCTGCTGGAAGGTGAGCCTCCTCTTTGTCTCAGATCTTCTGCAGCCTTTGGCAGGTAGACTTCCTGGACTGGTCTGGATTTAGCTCCCAATAAACTCTGAGCAGCTTCCCTATCAATGCTGAAGAAAAGAATCTCCAAAGCATGATGCTGCCACCATCATGCTACAGTAAATGGTAATGTGCTGTGTTACTTAGGGGAACAAAAGATTGACTTATTCTGACCAGAGCAGAAAAACTTGAACATGAGAACTGAGAGACTCCATAAATCAAAGCAAGCGGTGTCATGATTTAACTAAAGATCAGACCCAAATGCAGAGAAACCATTACAGAGAGACCAGAGAAAAAGTTTTACAGGTTCATTGAGAAGCTTGTGGAGATTCCAGTGTTGCTCTGAACACTGCTCAACCGGAACTGAAAGGTGAGGGGAAGACACTGCGGTTAGTTCAGGTTCAGTGGGAAAATTGATTCTCGAACTTGAAGAGGAGACATGGTTTGCAGACTCACGTTTCCAGAAAAGTGGTTGACTCTTAGACTCCAGTAGGTGAGGAATGTGTTCCGGTGTTTGTCTCACAAAGTGGAGGACGGACAGGGTAACCCAGAATGCGGTTGCTTGTAGATGAACAGAGAAAGACTGACTGCCACTCAGATTTCCTGCAGTACTTGAACAGACTGTTGTGCAGATGATTCCCTCGCTCAGTGGGAAGCTCAAACGTTTCCTCGGGAAAAAGTGGATCCAAACCTCCGGTTACCCCTTGCAGGTGTGTGAGGAGGAGAATCAGAACCAGGCACCGCCTGGTGGAGGAAGGAAGACAAACACACAAAAACACAGACCACACAGACTGGAGTCCTAACAAGTGGCACAAAATACAGAATCAAGAATTAGTCACCGAGATAAGAAAAGAATAATTAAATATTCAGCGAATAAAATCAATTAAAATGAAGGTAATAATGGCTTATATAAGAGATGTAAAAAATAAAGACTTAATTCTGCTTTCTGTTCTCTAAAAAAACTCTGAGGATGAAAACAGAACATCTACATTATTACTCAGAATAAACTTCTCTGAGCTGGACTCTTTTTACTTCTATGTTCTCAATCCAATAACCACTGAAAACAGCTGGATTTTATCGAGGGGCATCAAAGTAACGGGGGGTGAATAAACACTTTGTTACAAGCATAATGTGTGATGGTGCTTGATTTTAGCTATAACTGTAATATCTTTCCAATTATGCTTCCCCTGTGGTGTGTCCCATAGTTAGGTTTTTTTTTCCTACGAAATAATTTCACGTCTCAGCTTCGACTTCATGTTGATAATCACAGCTTCTCAGATAAGATGTTTATGATCACTGTTTACAAGCAGTGATTTCTGACTCCATGATGTTTAACCTTGAGATATTTGACCATTTATGGTAAACATCAAATCATTTATTAACATATCAGTTCTGTCGATGAATGTTTTATTATAAAACTGTTGCATTAATCGACATCATAACACAGAGATAAGATAAGATTGCTTTATCTCAGGAGTGAATGAATATAAATCAGCACCAGATGATGATCTGACCTGCAGCTACCTGTCCACAGGTTAAAGTCTAACTTGTATCAGCTTTTTTTCTTTCCTGATATGTTTCTCCACTACAACATTGATGCCCATATATATCCTTTTTAATCCCGCAGCACGCCACAAAGACCAAATCAGGACTTCAAGTGTTAGTGAAGCCCCATCGTCCTGCAGGGTTTCTGAAGGTCAGCAGGTAACATAAAAACAGGTCAGACTGAAGGATTTCAGCAACTCAGAGCTCACCTGCAGAAGGTAAGACACACGCAGCCTTTAGGTTTTTTTGTTAATAATGATTATAAATTCAATGTGGTTAAACTGCATTCTGTAGGAGGTAACTATGGCAGTTAAAACTTCACTTTACATTTACTTTCTTTTATGTTTTATATAATTTACTTTACTTATATAACTATAGATATAGGAATAAAACACATTGATGGTGTGAAATGGTTAAAATTCAATGTTATTCAACAAATCTGATTTAAAATCAAGTTTGGATTACATGTTCAGGTAACAACGTAGCTTTTTTTTTTACTGACTAAGATAGGCAAAATATGAAAAAAGGCTGATCATCAGCTGATGTCCTCCTGAGGGAAACATGGCTGTTTAGTATCATTATTATTGTAATATTGTTGTCTTATCTGTGCAGGAGTTATTTAAATTCACCATTTTACAGTATCTGCTCAATTAGTCATAACAGAAAGTTATGCAGGTATGTGAAAAAGTAAAACATAAACTTTGAATTAACATAAGCTGACAGCATTTTTTCTTGATTTACAAAGTATGACGATGCGCTGAATCCTTCATGGAATCCCAGTTTTGTTCAGTTTTTATGAGGACAGTTGAAGGTTTACATTAAGGTTTGAGGCAGGTGTTTGTTTCCATTTTTATTATTTTACCTGGAAAGTGAGGTCCAGTTATCTCAAAAGGAGGAGATCTTCCTGGTCTTCATGATTTTGCTAACAGTTAGGTTAAGGGCTAAGGTTTAAATTGGATTTAGATTAGGGTCAGGGTCAGGTATGCTCTGGTATCCATCTATAAGGGCTATGCTGGTAATAGCATTGGTAAACAATCATTGGAAGTGAGTGCGAGTCAACATTTGGTCCTCACTAGTTACAGCAAGATAAGAATGTGTGTGAGTGTGTGTGCAGCTATGTTTTTGTTACTATGTGAGGACAATTATGCAGATATACTAGATTTTGGGGACTTATAGGTACTTGTGGGGACCAGCCACTGCTCCCCACGTGGAGTTCTTCTTTAGGTGGGTTTAGGTTTTGGACAACGGTGTGCATTTAGGTTAGGTTTAACGTTAGGTATGTAATGACTCCTGCCTGCATGTTGGGTAAAACAGAAACACTACAGATATTTTTGGATGGATTTGTTTTAAATACAAAACAAAATCAACAAACTGTCTTTAAATCTAGACTGTCTATTTCTTAGTTGCTCATAAAGATTTCAGTTTCCATTCCAAAGAAACCACTTTAATTCTGATGCACTGAAATTATTTGATACTTGTTTCCTATTTGTTAAAGCCTGGTTAAGGAAACAGGGCCAGATAATAAATATGATATTTCTGCAGAGGCCCAGTTTCATAATAAAACTTTACCTTAAAATACTGGATATCCATAATTCTAGCAATTATTACATGGTGGAATGTCAAAGAACATATTTAATTCTGAGCCTGAAGGTAGACAGAGGTATTAAAATCTGAATTATATTGGTGCCTTAATATTCTTTTTAAGTAAGATGTGATGACAATATTTTCTCAAACATCCAAGTCTGTAAAAGGTATTGCAGAACATTATTGTACAAAAAAAGCTGAGAATTAACCAGTGCTGCTATAAACTTATTTTAACTTATTCTATAACTATCAAACAATTCGGAAATGCAGTTAAAATCATTGCTCTTAAGGATAAAATATGGAGTTTTGGTAAATTTCCCCCCCAGAAATGGATGACGACATTGCTGGACTTGTTATTGACAATGGCTCTGGAATGTGCAAGGCCGGATTCGCTGGGGACGATGCTCCTCGGGCTGTCTTCCCATCCATCGTTGGCCGACCCAGACACCAGGTAGGAACACAGAGATGAATGAAAGGCTCCTCTCAGCACTGAGGGCTGGACAGACAATCTGAGGCTGTGGTTTCTGCAGGGTGTGATGGTGGGCATGGGACAGAAAGAATGCTACGTGGGAGACGAGGCCCAGGTGAAGAGAGGCATCCTGACCCTGAGGTACCCAATCGAGCATGGGATCATTAACAACTGGGACGACATGGAGAGGGTACGTCTGTGTGGAGAAAGCCTTTAACAAAAACTCATCATAGCTTTACAGATTATCTCTTTCTAGAACCTGATTCATCTATTCAAACTAAATGTTTGTTAAACTATTTCAGATCTGGCATCACACCTTCTACAATGAGCTCCGTGTTGCTCCTGAGGAACATCCGGTCCTGCTGACAGAAGCTCCATTTAACCCCAATCTTAACAGGGAGCAGATGGCCAGGGTGAGTTCTGACCCTCTGGACCTCATCCTAAGGATCTAACTGACATCTCTAGCTGCTCTGGGTCTCTCCACTCAAAACAGGACTTGTGTGATTAATCCAACACAAGCTTCTCTGCACTGTGAAATTTTGGTTCAGTTTATTTACCAAGAACCAATTAACATCATCTGAAGGAGATTCAGCTAAATAATATTTGCTGTTTTACATTATTAAATATAATCTCAATATAACCTGACACAATATAAATATCCCTTTACTCCTTCAAGATGCATAGTCACCTTAAAGGTATAAAGCCAGCACCATAAAGACCAGAATCCAGCTGATTTATGATCAAATAAGGCCATAAACTCCAATTATCCATCCTGACAATGCTTTGATCATCCTTTTCCTGCGTGGGGTGCAATGAGCTTAAATAAACAGATGTGGCGCCACCTATTGGAAGTACTGCTGAACTACCAGAAATCCAGATGGTGGCCAACCATGCTGACTGTGCTGTAATGCCTAGCAGAAAAAAAAACTGCTTGGATTATAGGCTTTGAAGGCATTGCTAACACTAGTACCACTATTAGTAAGAACATGTACTCATGTGTCAACTTAGCAGCAATATAAGCACAACTCTAATTTTATCCCTGTTGAAATCAAACATCTCTTAGTGCCTTTTTACACATGATCTTGGGCGTTTCTTTTTTTGGGAGTTCAACACTTTTGCAGTGATATATTCCCAGTCACATGTCACACATTTACTAACAAAATACCTAAAAAGACTAAAAAAAACAAATACTACACCAGCAGGATCTCGTAACTTTTCTGAAAAATCAAAGGGAGTTAGGAATATATACATTCAAAAAATGCCAAATAATGTGATTGTGTACCTTTAACAAAGGAATCCATTTAACCAGCCTTGGCCCAAGCGTCAAAGTAAGAAAGACATGAAGATGAGTGCTTGCCATTGTCCACTGTCTGTTCTCTCTCCCTTAAACCAACTGGAAGAAAATTACATTTAGAGAAAACTGATGCTAACCTGATGTTGAGAAAACTTACTGATGTTTTGGAAAGAAAAAAACAAAACAAAGAACATGTTTGAAAAAACTACATTTTTAATGGCCTATTCATGTATTATGACTTTGCGAATGTCTACATCAACAGCTCCCCCTGGTAACATTTAAAGGCTTTTTGAAATAAATTAAATCTCTCTGTTTAACTATAAAAATGTTTTCTTTATCTTATGCCTTGTTTTTCTCCAGTGTTTGTGCACTTAAGATTTTAGTGTTTAGTCTAATAAGACCACATGACCAGAAGTACGATATTGAGAATAATGGTAAACCAGGAAGTACTTTCCCCAAAGGAGAAAAGGGAAAAAAGAGAAAAAGTACTGCCAGCAGATAAAGATGCTATACAATAGTGATGTTTGATGATTTCACCTTTTGCAAAAATGATCAGGCTCAAAACCGTATAAATAAACAAAACAGGACAAAAGCCTTGCTCTGTTTCAATATGATAATCTGGTTTTTGGTCTATTTTATAGTGGTACATAACCTGGCCCCTTTAAAGATGGGGAGGGATTTTAATTTAGACTTTTTACCTCTTTTCTTGTTCCAGATCATGTTTGAGACGTTCAACACTCCAGCCATGTATGTGTCCATCCAGGCTGTCCTGTCTCTCTACTCTTCAGGTCGTACTACAGGTCTGTGATGGCAAACCATCAAAGCCAGAAACACTTAGTTCTGCTGTGAAGTTTCAGTGCTGTCATGGTCAGAAGGTCTGAATCTGGAAGGTTCCCACAGCTTCCTGTTTTCTCTATTCAGGCATTGTTCTGGACTCCGGTGACGGCGTCTCTCACGCCGTACCGATCTACGAGGGCTACGCTCTGCCCCATGGGATGTTCCGACTGAATCTGGCTGGACGGGATCTGACAGATTACCTGGTGACGCTCCTCACAGAGAGGGGTCATCATTGTAACACAACAGGTGAGTCATAAAGGGAGCTTCATCTCTGCCAATATTTGTAGCGATGCATCTCCTGATCCTCCTGTTTTCTATGGATGCTTCTAAACTTCAGCGGAGAAGGAAATCGCTCGAGATTTGAAGGAGAAGCTCTGCTATGTGGCCTTGGACTATGACCAAGAGATGAAGACGGCAGTGTTGTCTTCTGCTCTGGAGAAAACTTATGAGCTTCCTGATGGTCAAATCATCACCATCGGTAACGAGAGGTTCCGCTGCCCTGAGGCCCTCTTCCAGCCCGCTCTCATCGGTTGGTGATAAACTCTGGAATCGTGATCTAAACACATTTCTGAATAAACAAAACCAAATGTGTTTTTTCTTCTGATCGTCCTAAATCACCTTCCTATTCTCCTGAACTCAGACCTCTGCATGTTTGTGTCAATAAACCCTCATGGCAGCTTTAAATGTACTCCTCTGTTTCAGGGATGGAGTCAGAAGGGATTCATGCCACAACCTACAGCAGCATCTTGAGGTGTGACATCGACATCCGTACGAGTCTGTACGCAAACATCGTCCTGTCTGGAGGAACCACCATGTTTCCTGGTTTGGCAGACAGAATGCAAAAGGAGATGGTTTCCCTGAGCCCACACTCAGTAAAAATCAAGGTACACAACTTATTTATATTTATTTGATTCTGTATTACACTTAATTATGCCTCTTGTGAAAACATGTCATCACCTGTTTTCCAGGTTGCCGCTCCCCCAGAGAGGAAGTACTCTGTTTGGATCGGTGGCTCCATCCTGGCTTCCCTGTCCACATTCCAGAACATGTGGATCACCAAGCAGGAGTATGACGAGTCCGGTCCGAGCATCGTCCACCGCAAGTGCTTCTGAACAGCCAGTTTTCCTGAGTCTGGGTGGCAGACATGAACTCATACGCAGCATTAAACCATAATGTCTCTTCTTCATCCTTAAATAGAGTCATTAGATCCTCAATAAAAGAGCTTTCTTCTATTGTAATTTTATGCCAAAATCATTATAATCAGGTTAAAACAATATAGCTAATAACATATAACAATCAGTGATTCACAGAATAACTGAATGACTGGAGTTTTTGGATTTTGTTTCATTTCTGACATTATTTATTTTGAATTGCTGTACTTTTAAATATTTAGTAAGGAAATAAATACATTTTGATCATCTCCATTGCTCCCACTGTAGTTGTGTCTGAAGTACAATCAGAATAAGGTGAAAAAATGAAAATTAATAAAACACTGAAAAGTAAAAGTCAAACCCGGACTTTTCCTCTGCTGGTCACCATCCTCCCATCATTGGAGTAGAGAAGCCCTCCTAAACACCCTCCTAAACATGCCCACAAGCTGAATTCTTGTGGTATTTTGTGTCATTTCTCTTCAGCACATGAGAGTCCATCTTATTTCCATTCAGAGGCCTATTTCACAAAAACCTTGATTCAGAAAACCCAGGATAAGAGATAAGGCTGGTGTGCCTTGGCCTAAACAGTGAATTATTGCCTTATCCATTTCACAAAGACCAAGCCAGGCTCAACAGGGGCTGCTATGCCAAGCCAGGCATATCGTATCAAGCTAAATGCAGGTCTGCAGTTTTCTTCAAGAGATAATGAGGTTGATCACAGAATCATTGATTTAGCAGACAAAAGCGGATCAACTAAATCCCTAAACAGGCTGTAATCCACATTTTCTAAGCACTTCTCTCTCTTAACTAAAAGTTAATCAATTTAGATAACTTTTCATCTTTGGATTCAGTCTCTCTTTAATATTGGTTTAAAGAGAATTGTTGTACATTTAAACTGAAAATTATCTTTAAAATAGCCTTTTTAATTGACCCTTTATATCTAAACCATTGTATTATGAGCAGAGTGACACCTCACTAGTTCATTGTTGATGCATCTATAAGCTGTAGCCTTATAGCCTTGTATCATTAGACAATTTTGCTATGCTTCTTTAAGTCTTCGTTTCCAACTTGGTTCGACTTGGCATTAAAAAAATTAAATCCATCAATCACCAATGATATTTTGGTTTTAAAAAATTGGTCAAACAGAAGTTATGATTTCTCTCATTCATTGTTAAAGTTGTTCTGTTATCCCCAGAATTGGCTCTTGACAAACTGAGACCTATTTCAGCTGTAAACAAGGTTCTGGAGTCATGGACTAAGCCAGATCCATGTGCCTTCATGTTGCTGAAGATGGAGTCAGAGTCACAGATCATCTGAAATATGATGCAAGTTATGTTCAAAATAATGTTTAATTATCATTGAGAACAAGTTTATTCATAAAGAGCTTTAACGCCAGCCAAAACAGAGACAAAGTGCTGTACATCAAAGATAAAACAATAGAATAGAACAGAATAGAATAGAATAGAAAATACCTTTACTTTACCTTTAATTCTGGTGTTTATAGAAAAATGATTATTAAAAAATGGTCACAAAAATGTGGACATTAGGAAAGCGTATAAGAATAAAATAATAGTAAAGAATTAAAAAATAAGCAGATGAAATACTTTACTGTAAAGTATTTCGACAATATAAATACTGTGAACCTGGAGAATAAATAACCAATATACAGCTATCAACATTTTTACAGTAATGGATAGTAATGAACAACAAGAAAGCATTAAAATTAGGTAATAATGCTGAGTATGCAAAATATGAGTGGATTCAAAAAACTGGCAATAAAACAGATAAAATCAATAGCAATAAACGAACATAAACCAAAAATAAGGGAAATAATAATAAAAATGAAGTCTCACTTCCATACAGAAACCCTACATTCATATCTTCAGGTAACACAGAGTACATGTCAGACTTAATAATATTACTTTAGCGATAGTTTCAAGGTGTTGCTTTATTGTATATCTTGTTCCATGTCTTTTGGTTGTGCTGTTCTTTTTTCATGATGAAGCAGACTGAAAATGTTTTGTCATTGTCTCCTTTCTTTTTCCTCTTTCTTTCATCTTTTCTCTTTTTTTCTTCTCTTTTTTCCTTTTTCTTCTTCTGTTTTTCTGCTCTATTTACATTGCAGTGTCCATATAAACTGTAAAACTCCCTGCATAATTATAATAAAGCAATTTATATGCATGAAACAAGTGGAGCAGTATGGCAATTTCCATACTGCTACACTTGTGAAAGTAAAATCTTTTGGGCTCTTTTTGGCATCAAGACAATTATTCTTATTGCCACATTGCCAGACAGGACAATGTAAAAAAAAATGAAGTCTCAGTTGGTTGATTTGAAGGCAAATGTGTAAAAATGTTTTCAGACGTGTTTTATTATTATAGGCCTCTAAACTCTCTTTTTAAACTGAGAGGACCAGGAGCAGCGGGTCAGAGGACGTGAGTTGCTGAGTAGGAACATAACGGTGGATAAGCACTTTTAGGTAACGCTGGGCAAAAACCTGAAGACAAACAAAAGGATTTGAAAATGAGCCATAGTAACTTAACACCCAATGAGGGAAGTCCTGGACCGGAGTGACCTGCTCTCTTTTATGATGAACCTCTTAATAGACAGGCATCAGCATTTTGCAGCAGCTGTAGATGTTAAAGTAAAGACTTTATCTTATGTTTATAGTGATCAAGGTCTCTGTATGTTCTATTGGCTTTGCTTCAAGGCTTCGTATCAAACTTATAGTAAGCCATGTGCTCCTTTCAACACCAGATTAGATAGAGAAAATGGAGAAAGTTCTTCCAGTAAATTTATTTCTGTAGATTAAACTGTTAATCATTTCTCCTAATGGAGCAATTTTAACTGTTATTTGCTGTTAGATCAAGATAAACTTTAACATCATTACCCAGGGTATTGCCCCCCAGAACTCTACTGTAATGATAATCATATTATAAACCAAAGATACTCACATACTTATAAATACAGATAAATGGGAAAAGAAAACTATTTTGTATTTGCATAACAGCAGCATAAGCTTATCTCAAGCAGGGCTTATTAATGCACAAGCGTATAACCTGTTTTCTTTATCACACAGATATTATTGCTGCTTTCTGTGGGTTCAGTTATGAGAAGGGCAGGAGTCACTGATGTCCACTCTGAGCTTTGTCTCCTTCTAGTTTCATATATCCAGGATTAAATCTAGATTAGAACATATATCTTCTCAGTTCATCTGTTTATCCAACAGATTTTCATGCAACCTCCTTTTCAATTCAGTTTTCTATCTAATGAAAACCAACCGATTGCATCCAGTCAATGACTTCGGAAAATTTGCTCCTCCAGGAGGAGCATGCAGTGAGAGTATGCAGTTGCTTGCATTGTGTTAGAAGCGCCTATCCAAGAAATCTCTGTATGTTCAAAAAGGTAGCAGCAAATTAGCTTCACATGTGGTTGTGTCTAGGAAAGAAACACATATACACTAAAAGCTGAGCCAATAGCTATATCTAGGAAAGAAATTCGACTAAGCACAAAAAATAGGCCCTAATCTATTATGTATAGCAGAGTTTATTAACTGCGCTTGATGGTTCCATCTAGGATGGCATTGCAGGCCAACAGGACCAGACCAGAAAAAACTACAATGAAGAGAAAAGGCATAGAGAGCACAATGTTTGAGATTGAAAATATTGCAGAATTGAAGAATATAGATAGAATGGAACAGAATGAGAAGAAGTGGTTTCTATGTCCTCCAGAACTCTAAGCCTACAGCAGCATAACTATACAGATAGTTCAGGATAACTTGAGCCACCCTAACTATAAGCTTTATCAAAAAGGAAAAATTTAAGCCTTAAGGTGTCTGCTTCACAGATTCCTGTGAGCAGTTATTAAACTGTTAGCTATGCATAAAATGAAGGTTTTATAGCTTTATCTATTGGATGCTATCGTTTTACAATAGCTGTGTGTGAGAGAGTGTGTGCGCTTGTTTTTAATACATTGTGGGGCCCATTTTGAGGGAAAATAGCCCGTTGTGGGGACTAGCTGCCCCTTGTGGGGCCAGTGCCTGTACCTAATGTGGGGAATTGTTTTTTTTTTTTTTTTTTTTTTTTTTTTGTCAGGGGTCATGTTTAGGACTAAGATGTGAATTTAATTTAGTTTGGGGTTATGGTTAGATATGAACCCCATAATGGTAAGGGTTTTGAGTTAGTATTTAGAAATTAATGAAGGTCAATGGAAAGGCCCTGCAAAGATAGTAAGATAGGTTTGTGTGTTTGCGTGTGTATGTGTGGCCATGTTTGTGTTAACTGGTGGAGACAATTTCACAGGAATGTGCTACATTTTGGTGACTTATAAGTACTAATGAGGACCAATAACTCGTCCCCATGAGGTGAAGTTCTCTTCTTGGAATGAGGGTTAAGTTAAAGACTAAGGTGTGAACTAAGTTAAGGTTAGGTTTAGGGGTGTGGGTAATGGTGAGGGTAGAGCACTACAAGATACAAGATAATATAAACTCCAGGTCAGGAACAAACAGAACACAACAACATTACAGAGCACAAATAATAAGTCATACATATGCATTTAAAATATATATATCTAATTTTCAGTATTTTAGTGAAAATATAATTGTGTATAAGTCTCATAACATCAGGCTGCAGTCAGTTAGAGAGCCGCAGAGCCTGGACCTGATGAAGTTCATTCCATCTGTTCACAGATGGAGGTTTTTATCATACAAAGATAACAGTAATCATTTGCATGTTTCTAATGCTGTGGCACCTTTCTGATGAGATATGTGAGTAGAAATACCTGAGTTGCTCAAATTGATTTATTAGAATCACACAGAAACTCAATTAGATCAATCTGAACGTGACCAGATGCATTTATTTTGAAAGGTTGTGAAAAGAACTCCACCTCCAATTTTGCAAATGTCCTCAAAGAGCAACTGAATCTCCATATCCAGGGGAATGACAAGTGTTGCATATTCAGGA